ACTACTGACATATCCTAAATAAGCCCCACTTACATCACAGTGTCTCTGATTACGCTTAACATTCCACATTTTATCATCGACCAAAGAAGTTCTGGGCTGTAGGCCTGAAACCTATCACGGAAGAAGCAACAGCTTGCCGTGGAAAGGATTCATCCAATCCAAGACGAGTACACAGATCGATGAAAATATAATTGTAGCACACCATCATGTAGCCTAATGCAATATATCAACAAAAAAAAATTGAATGGTTCATATGACACCGTTACATTAGATTGTAGGTCGACTTTAAGGATGCTAAACTAAAGATTTTTTTAGGCTGATTCTCTTTCTAACTCCCAATGTGTCAGTTACTCTCTCCATCCTCTCTCACTCTACCCCTTTCTCTCTCTCCCCTCTCTCCCTAACATCTTTCTCTCTCTCTACCTCTATTACCCTATCTCTCTCTCCATCTCTCCCCCTCTCCCTGTCTCTCCCCTTCTCTCTCTCCATCAATCTCTATCACTATCTCTCTCTCCCTCCCTCTCTCTCTCCCTCTGTGTGTGTGTGTCTGCATGTTGTCATATCTCGTTATTCTAAATATAACTATATTTTGTCCCATAAATATTTTCCCACCCAATCCACTTATCCATTACAATTAATATCAGCATATCGACCAAAGTGAACACAATAAGATAGTTCCATAAGTTTTTAGTTGCTATCTATTGAACATCTGACCACCTCACTCAGCGGTTCATATTCCGGCCTATCACGTCCAGAGTTTAAGCGAGTCAACATACCTCAGCTGCCCCCCCCCCCCCCCCCCCCTCCCCAATTTTGTGATTGCCAGGCCAGATCAAAGTAAAAGTGAGTAAACCCAAATAACAGAAAAACACACACACAAAACAAAACAAAAAAAAACTTGATTTCAAGCGGAATGATATTAAACACCAATAACCGCTCTGAAAACTTGTGTACACGTCATGAAACGACCCCCCTCCCCACCTCTCCATTTCCTCTCCCTGTCGAAGCTGCATCAATGTCAACACAAGTCACGCCAACACTTTGGACTCTCGAATAATGTCCCTTGCTCCTGTGTTCTCTGGCATGATCTTTGTGTTCTCTGGCATGATCTTTGTGCTCTCTGGCATGATACCTGTGTTCACTGGCATGATACCTGTGTTCTCTGGCATGATCTCTGTGTTCTCTGGCATGATATATGTGTTCTTGGCATGATATCTGTGTTCTCTGGCATGATAAATGTGTTCTCTGGCATGATATCTGTGTTCTCTGGCATGATAAATGTGTTCTCTGGCATGATATCTGTGCTCTCTGGCATGATATCTGTGTTCTGTGGCATGATACTTGTGTTCTCTGGCATGATACCTGTGTTCTCTGGCATGATATCTGTGTTCTCTGGCATGATATCTGTGTTCTCTGGCATGATACCTGTGTTCTCTGGCATGATACCTGTGTTCTCTGACATGATACCTGTGTTCTCTGGCATGATACCTGTGTTCTCTGGCATGATATCTGTGTTCTCTGGCATGATATCTGTGTTCTCTTGCATGGAATCTGTGTTCTCTGGCATGATATCTTTTTTATCTGGCATGATATCTGTGTTCTCTGGCATGATAAATGTGTTCTCTGGCATGATATCTGTGTTCTCTTGCATGGAATCTGTGTTCTCTGGCATAATCTCTGTGTTCTCGAAACTCTTAACTGCAATGCGACAGAACAGTTTAAAAAAAAATGTAATCGCGCCCTATCTTTGGAAAAGTAAATGTACCGCAAGCTAAATTTTAGATATTTAATAAACAAATTATGAATGGAGAATGCAATAACCTGTCACAAGCAGGTGAAGTTGTCTTGGGACATTTAATTATTCTATTGACATCCCAGCAGTTATCTCAAGAAAAAATCCAGTGACATAATGATAAAAAATAAATTAAAAACTTTAAAAAAAAAAGAAAAAAAAAGACTCCTTATTAAAGATGAGTTAAAACGCATTAAAAGTTCGAAAATAATTTACAATTTCTTAAAATGCATTACTCAAAGAAAGACCGTGCATAAGTGTAGACGAGCACTATCTGTAGCACTCTATGCAGCACTCTATGTAGCATGTATGCAGCACTCTATGTAGCCAAAGGATTTGAACTGAATATAAACTAAACTTAATTGGTTTATTTAAAAAAATAAATAATTTGTGAAAATATTTTTTTCTGCGTAATCCATTTTAAGAAAAAAACTAAACACCGAAAGCTTAAAAGATCTCTTTTGAGGTGACTTAACTCTTGACCTAGGCGTAAAACGAAAAAAAAAAAAAAAGAGAGATCTGAGCCCTTCCGCCCACCCGTTCACTCAATGAAGCAGACGCGGTCAACCACGATAATTTGAGCGAGAGTGTGAACCTGCCTCCTTCGACCCAGTCGACCTGTTTCAGCCATTCACCGGGTGAACACTGCACGAAATAAATAACGAGCTGGTCCACTGCTCCAGCATTAAAACAGAAACTCGTTGCAGTTCCGGCTCATACTAGCGAGAAGCCAGTACAGGAACTGTTCATTCCTGCCGAAGACAATCAGGGACTGGAACAAGCTTTCAAAAGGTACAGTTGAGGCGACCACACTTGAAATTTGCGTTTATTGCCTCGGGCCCTTCCAACCCCCAGTCCATGATACCCTCACAAAGTAGCCCTTGCAACCATTGAAATATCCTCATCAACACCTGGCACTCAAACATTGCAAATCCCCTCTACATGCATAGGAGCCAGAATGATAAATAAATTGATCGTAAACCCTTAATATATAGAAGAAGAAGAAGAAAGACTCAATCTTCAAATGTCACGTGTGTAAACAATAAAATAATAATAGCAACCCTCCACTCGCGAGATGGTAATGCGTGTAGGCAGAAAATCTTTCAAAACAATTTTTCCATAATCTGTAACCAGTTAGGTGACAAGATGAAAACAGTTCTGCCCCAAAGCTGGGCGTTGCATCAATCGATTCGGTTAGAGGGTTTCACGCTTGTGGAAATTGTGTTCAGTTACGCGCCCCTTATTTCTGTTTTTATATACATATGGCATCTGGAGTTTTCGGCCACGCTCTAGCTAAAATGAGAATCGATCGATTTGAAAGCCTACTCGCCAGATGCGTATGTGTGTGCGTGCGCGTGCGCGCGTGTGTGTGTCTCTGTGTGTGTGTGTGATAACATCAGTTAGGTCATGCTTTGATTTGTGCACTGTCTACCTGGCAATAGTTCTAATCATTACAATAAAGCGTCATGTGTGCACTGTCTACCTGGCAATAGCTCTAATCATTGCATTTCACACATACTGGTGAGAAATCAGTGAAGTAGAAAATATTAATTAAAAATGCAGAACTACTTTGCCACTAAAATTAAAAGCTTATATTTAAAAAAAAACTCCAGCCAGCCCAACCCCAAAACAATGGTAAAAAAGCCACTGTTACCGATATAATCATATTTTCTTAATAAACATCTTTCTCGAATTGGTTTTGATATTCATGGAACAAATTAAATTGAAATTATACGCTAGATATATGAAGATCTATTTTATGCAGAGCTAGTTTACAACCCTTTTCCCGTGCGTGAACTTTCTTTGACCCCGCATTAGACTTCTAGAAGACAGTAATGTTTGTTGTGGGCATGGTTAAAAGTCTTTGATGTATCGTGTTTACTACCGACATCCAATTAAAAATGGTTAGAATGTCTACTAGTATGTTGTCGAAGGCTCTCGATTGTATTAGAAAACTAAGGGCGTTTCTAGACGCGTCGGTAGACCCACTTGTATAAGGGATTGACATGCAGAGAGGCACGGAGATTGATAGATATTTTTAACTTCACGAGACGTGTATTATTCTTTGTGTACTTATATGTGTTTATTCATCTAAGAGAAGGAAACTCTGAATTCAAACCCGGAGTTGGAGTCCCGTAAGGCGCATACAATGTCAATTCCTGCAACCGTACCCATCCCTGGTCGTCTCGACGTAGAGTCTTGCCACTGGATATGGTGGGCTCGGACGAGAGAGTGAGGTTGACGCTGCGCAACTCTTGCTCACTTTAAACAAAAGTCACCCGCGCAAGTCATCAGTCACCAGACGACTCGATGGTCATCGTCGATCCTCGACGGACGAACAACATTCGCATTGATCATTCATCATTATCATTGGCACATTGTACTAACTGTTTTAACTGTGTACCGGTACAAGATCTACCATACTGTAAGTTGATGATTTGTAATGATATTTCTTTTGTTTTGTAATTGTATTTTACTAAATTAAATCTTATTAATTGTAATTGGTACTTTTTTGGGTGTCGTACTTTTGTTATTTTATTTTTCTATGGTATCGTCCTTTGTTAGGCACTGTTTGAACGAGCCATAAATTTAAATAGGAGATTAATTTCTCACAAGAGAAGCCAGTGCGTAACATCTACATAAATGATGATCTACATGCATGATAATCTAGATGTATGATGATCTACATATATGATAATCTAGATGTATGATGATCTACATACATGAAAATCTCGATGGATGATGATCTACATAGATGATAATCTCGATGGATTATAATCTACATACATGATAATCTAGATGTATGATTATCTACATATATGATAAACTAGATTTATGATGATCTACATATATGATAATCTAGATGTATGATGATCTCAATATATGATAATCTAGATGTATGATGATCTAAATATATGATAATCTAGATGTATGATGATCTAAATATGTGAAAATCTAAGTATATGAAAATCTAGATGTATGATGAAGAAGTATATTTATAAACTAAACATATTTCTTTCACTTGAATTGACCGAATGAGCAAAGATCTTAAAGCTGCTCTTTCACGAGACATACCAACGTTGTCCCCCAATATTTCCAATATTTTGAAATACAAAATTCGCCATGCTTGGCTGACTCACTACAATTGTAGAGCACTGATCGGCTTTGACCTCTCGCCTTTCCAGTAAGCTCCTTTCAGTAAGCAATATGGCCACCTGTTTGCCCGTTGTGCACAAGCTGTGCGGCCCCACCTGGTGAGTTAAATTTCCCCAAGCCAGGCAATGAGATACTGCTGGAAAATGTAGGACGGAATATGGAGAAAAGAAAGGTAAACGTTCTCTTAGATCATGTTGACTATTATTCATTGGATAGAAATATGATGAGTTTATTTACTAATGCTCAGTTCACACGATCACATTTGCGTCAAATTTCTTTTTTGAGCGTCACTATTCTGTTTGACTAAATAGCGCGTTCAAAAAGAAATTTAGCGAAAATTTGACGAAAATTTGATCGTGTGAACTCACCATTGCAAAACAAAATATACGTCTTGTACGTGTACACAAAATATCCGTATTATACAAACAAGTATGCGCCTTATTATTATTTGATTTCAATAAACGTTTAAGTCGATTTAGTCGTTGAAAATTTAGTATGATGTACGGTATAGCAAAAAAAATCAATAATAATAAAATCGTATTCTTTGGTTTAAATTAGAGATGTTTTATTTGCAATTAGTGTGTGTTTTGGATGAGAATAAGGGATGCTCTCTTTGTTTACCTTCTAAACTTTGAAGGGCAGATGAGACTGGGATCTATGTTGTGATGTCAAGCTATTTAAACATTTGGCGTAGATGTTGTCTGTAAGAAGGAGACTACTCAAGTCCATGCTGTTCAACAGCTTTGAATTAACAAATGCATCTATGTCATTTGAAATATTCTTTTTGTTATTTAATTACTTATTTTTAGATACTGGTGGCTGGGGGGGGGGGGGGGGGGGGGGTTGGCTGGAGAGATATTTGATTCGCGTGTATAAATTAAAATTATGGGCCCGTAAAAAAAATCTATAATTGAGGTAAACGTATAAACAATGACAAATAGAGCTGTTGTGCGGAGTTTTAATTTATGCATTCACTTGTACACAATCTCATTGATGTGACAAAAACAATACACAAGAAAAGTTAAAATTGACTTACTTTTAATGTTACATTTAATATTACTGGATGTGTGATTTGTTACATTACATATTACTTGATGTGTGATATGTTACGTTTAATATCACTGGATGTTGGATGTGTTACATTTAATATCACTGGATGTTGGATGTGTTACATTTAATATCACTGGATGTTGGATGTGTTACATTTAATATCATTGGAGCCCTAAGTCTCTATGTCACCGGATGTGTGCTGTGTTACATTTAATATCACTGGATGTGTGATGTGTTACATTGTTACAATGATGGTACGGTGTTATCAGCGATATGACACCCAACAATTGTTGCCCAACACGGCAATCTTGCCTTTTTTATAATGTTTAAAAAAAAAAATTCTTATCATGATATTTAAAACAAGTTATTTCGGTAGGAAATTTTTTGTTAAAAATCACTTCGCGCAAACCGTTCTGAACTTGCTCAAAACCACAGCTGGTCCTAATCTAAAACAAACACACCAAACTCCAATCACAGGCTTTGCAAAAATGTGAACCCTTCCATTCAGTAGAGGCTTTATCTGCACCAGATGGTTGAAATTTAAATCGTAAGCAAAGTCGGTTTATGAAAATCAATAGTTTTAATTGTTACATCTTCCCGACATTTTCAATACATATACCCCCGACCCCCCCCCCCCCCCCCTTAAAAAAAACAACAACAAAAAAAAAACAACAACAACACACACATGCATCTACTAAAATCTTTAACTCAACCCTCTCACAAAATACAACAACAATATCGTAGCGATTGACATGCGGAGATTTCAGTATACATTCATAGTGATGAGAATTTCAAGTGTCTGTGGTATCAGTAGAAAGAAAAAAACAACAACACCCTTAAGCTGGTTGATGTTACAATTACATGGAGTTGAATAAAACATTGACATCATTGATACTGAGATACAGTTCAATAGGTCTGGGCGTCTGAAACATCTTATTATCAGTGGCGTTTGAAGTGGGGTTGAGGGGGTGCTCCGCTTCGGGCTACTCAAACCTAGTTACGCCGATGCTTACTGTTTATTATCTAAAAACTTGTGATGTATTGGCGAATATAAAATTTTGTAAAAAAATACTATTAGAACATGCTTCTCACCGTTTGGACTAGTGGACTCAGTGTAGTGGACTAGTAGACTCAGTGTAGTGGACTAGTAGACTCAGTGCAGTGGACTAGTAGACTCAGTGTAGTGGACTAGTAGACTCAGTGTAGTGGACTCAGTGTAGTGGACTCGGTGTAGTGGACTAGTAGACTCAATGTAGTGGACTCGGTGTAGTGGACTAGTAGACTCAGTGTAGTGGACTCGGTGTAGTGGACTAGTAGACTCAGTGTAGTAGACTCGGTGTAGTGGACTAGTAGACTCGGTGTAGTGGACTAGTAGACTCAGTGTAGTGGACTCGGTGTAGTGGACTAGTAGACTCAGTGTAGTGGACTCGGTGTAGTGGACTCGGTGTAGTGGACTAGTAGACTCAGTGTAGTGGACTCGGTGTAGTGGACTAGTAGACTCAGTGTAGTGGACTCGGTGTAGTGGACTACTAGACTCAGTGTAAAGGACTCATTGGACCAGTGGACTCTGGTGGAATAACTTCTGGTGATTGAGTCAATGACAATCCCAAATAATGGGGTTTATTTAAAGTCGCCCCCACCCTCTGGCTTCCTCTCATACTCTCTCTCTCTCTGTGCCCCCACCCTCTGGCTTCCTCTCATACTCTCTCTCTCTGTGCCCCCACCCTCTGGCTTCCTCTCATACTCTCTCTCTCTCTCTGTGCCCCCACCCTCTGGCTCCCTCTCCTACTCTCTCTCTCTCTCTGTGCCCCCACCCTCTCGCTCCCTCTCATACTCTCTCTCTCTCTCCGTGCCCCCACCCTCTGGCTTCCTCTCATACTCTCTCTCTGTGCCCCCACCCTCTGGCTTCCTCTCATACTATCTGTGGTATCCACGTGGACTTACCCTAACATTTCTCCCATAGATCAGTCAACAGTCGACATCGTAGCTTAGCTGGCTGGCGATTCTATTCCGTCCTTGTAAGTGAACTGTCTCGGTCTGTCTCAGCACTGTCTCGGTCTGTCTCACTGTCTCGGCACTTTCTAAGCACTGTCTCAGCACTGTCTAAGTACTGTCTCAGCCTGTCACACTGACTCTGCGCTGTCTCGATGTCTATAAGCACTGTTTCAGCACTCTCTAAGCCCTGTTCAGCACTGTCTCAGCACTTTCTCAGCACTCTCTCAGCACTCTCTCACTGTCTCAGCACTCGATATTTTTATCACAACGATCGCTTCGTATAAATTTAAAGTGGCAAATAGAATTTACAATGACTTTGTTTTACCCCTTAGAGGGCGATACTCATACTTTACTGATACTAAAATTTCTGTTGAGTCCATGGTTTCAACGTAGCTAACTTATGGTTTCAACGTAGCTAACTTATGGTTTCAACGTAGCTAACATATGGTTTCAACGTAGCTAACATATGGTTTCAACGTAGCTAACATATGGTTTCAACGTAGCTAACTTATGGTTTTAACCTATACCTAACAAAGTTTCAACGTATTGTCGCAAGAGAACTCAATAAAAGTATCTTTTTTTCCCTGCGGCAGTCCATAAAATATATTGACATTAATTGAATTTTGAATCCATGCAAAACTATCGATGACAGCATTTTGAAAATAATTCTCAAAACCTGGGGTTAAGTCGAAGTGTCCTTTAATGGTGTTAAGTCGAAAGTGTCCTTTAATGGTGTTAAGTCGAAAGTGTCCTTTAATGGTGTTAAGTCGAAAGTGTCCTTTAATGGTGTTAAGTCGAAAGTGTCCTTTAATGGTGTTAAGTCGAAAGTGTCCTTTAATGGTGTTAAGTCGAAAGTGTCCTTTAATAGTGTTAAGTCGAAATGGGCCTTTAATACTGGTTTTCATAATACGAAAGAAATTAGCTCGATGTAACATAATGAAAGTTGTGTCATATTTTTCGACGGTCTAGTGACGATGCCACGGGTTCCAACGGGCGTCAAGGCTTCATTTTGGGAACCACTGCTCTAAACGATTGTTTTATTTCTTTCGCAGACGTACGGCTCATCTGTCCACAGCTCCCAGTCGGGCATCAGCATCATCTCTACCACCTCAACATGGACGGCTGCTTCACTGGGTACGAGGCCTGGGATGACAATTCCCCAAGGGGCTATATTGAAAACGGGCGTAAGACATGACCTGACGGTTGAATTCGACATAGAGGAATAACTTTATGTTATAATGATTTACTATAATGAATCTACTTATATTCTAATTTTTCAAAGACTATATATGGAGTAAATTAGGGATTTGTCATATTTTTTTTTAAATACGCCAAAATGAGTATAAATCCTTCAAATTAATTGGTCATGGAGTGTATTAAAATACTTAATTTAAAATTGATCGTCTATAATATAATAGAAATCAAGATCATACCATTGTGGCATTATCCCTGACCCTGTCCTCTCTACCCCACCACCCTTTCCTGTCTCCTCGACCCCAGTACTGACCCCCTACTTCTCTCATCTCCACATCGCCTTACTCTTCTCTCATCTCCACATCGCCTTACTCTTCTCTCATCTCCACATCGCCTTACTCTTCTCTCATCTCCACATCGCCTTACTCTTCTCTCATCTCCACATCGCCTTACTCTTCTCTCATCTCCACATCGCCTTACTCTGGCTCTATTTATGTTTAGTCGAGCTTAATTTGCACATACAATTGCACGTGCGTGAACGCGCTCACTTAAGTACGCATAATATTATTTTTAATTTAGAGAGAGGGGGGGGGGTGAGACCAACAGACAGAGAGACAGAGATAGAAAGACAGACAGGGAGAGAAAGAACCAGCAAACAATAAAATGAAAAAAAAATATTTTGTAATGCAATGCTACTCTCTTCGAATTACATTATTGATTTTTACTTTACATGTTAGGAGCACGTGTTTCCAAATGTCATGTTTGGAGAATTGTTTTCCAAATGTCACGTTATTATCACTTGGTTCCAAATGTCATGTTAGGACCATTTCTTTTCAAATGTCATTTAGGATCATTTATTTCCGAATATTATGTTAGGGGCATTAGTTTCAAAATACCATTTTAGGATATTTCATTTACTAATGTCATGTTAGGTTGCATTTATTCCAACAATGTCACGTTAGTTGAATTTATTTCCAAAGATTTGTGCTGGTAGCATTTCTTTTCCAATGTCAGACTGGAAGCATTTATTTCAAAATTTCATGTTAGTAGCTTTTATTTTCCCTGTTTGACAGAGCCAGACCCTGAAAGTGCAGACTTTATTCAAGCATTCCGCGATTTGAATAAAGAGGCAGAGAGTCCGTTTGAGTATGTCAGCGGGGCTCATGAGATCGTCTGCAGCACATGTGAGTACACTCATGGGTGGTACAACTTCCGGTTAAAACTCCATGTTGATACCAAAGGGGTTGGTTGTGTGTGTGTTGAAAAACGGGGAGGGGGGCAACCTTTCAGCCCAATCAGTACACGTATGGGATACGGTGGGTGGAAATGAGTCTTATATGCCTCACAGTGGGTGGAAATGTGTCTTATATGCCTCACAGTGGGTGGAAATGTGTCTTATATGCCTCACAGTGGGTGGAAATGTGTCTTATATGCCTCACAGTGGGTGGAAATGAGTCTTATATGCCTCACAGTGGGTGGAAATGAGTCTTATATGCCTCACAGTGGGTGGAAATGAGTCTTATATGCCTCACAGTGGGTGGAAATGAGTCTTATATGCCGCACAGTGGGTGGAAATGAGTCTTATATGCCTCACAGTGGGTGGAAATGTGTCTTATATGCCTCACAGTGGGTGGAAATGTGTCTTATATGCCTCACAGTGGGTGGAAATGTGTCTTGTATGCCTCACAGTGGGTGGAAATGTGTCTTATATGCCTCACAGTGGGTGGAAATGAGTCTTATATGCCTCTGAATAATAAGACACGAACAAATTGTGTCAATAGAACAATATGAGTTAGCTTTAATAATAATTATACATTATACACAATTAAACGTTTCGGCACATGCCTTCATCAGTACAAACAAACAAAACACATTTAAATAAGTATAAATTAAATTTACATAATATCAATATACATATCCTACCTAAAACAAAACAAAAAAATATAGGAGAGGGCGCTTAAACCAGACAAAAACAAAGTAAAGAGAAGTAGAAAGGAAGTGATTTTAACATAATTGGAAAAACCAAACAGGAAAAAGACATGGCAGCTAAGTAAAACTATGGATTTGGTTCAATCCATATGGAGACAACGTACCAAATCTAGTTATTAATTTGTTCTCCATATAGATTCTATCAAATAAGACACGAACAAATTGTGTCAATAGAACAATATGAGTTAGCTTTAATAATAATTATACATTATACACAATTAAACGTTTCGGCACATGCCTTCATCAGTACAAACAAACAAAACACATTTAAATAAGTATAAATTAAATTTACATAATATCAATATACATATCCTACCTAAAACAAAACAAAAAAATATAGGAGAGGGCGCTTAAACCAGACAAAAACAAAGTAAAGAGAAGTAGAAAGGAAGTGATTTTAACATAATTGGAAAAACCAAACAGGAAAAAGACATGGCAGCTAAGTAAAACTATGGATTTGGTTCAATCCATATGGAGACAACGTACCAAATCTAGTTATTAATTTGTTCTCCATATATATTCTATCTGCAGTGCTACTAGTATAGAGTATACCAGTATCTACAATATCAGAGATACCATTATGGTTAGGGCTATTGAAATGTTTGGAGACCGGACAGAGAGCGTGTTTATTTATTTTATAGAGGTGCTCTCTGAAACGGTCCCCAAGGCGACGACCTGTCTCTCCTATGTATAGTTTACCGCACTTTTTGCAAATAATGGAGTAAATCACGTTGCGACTTGTGCAGGTAAAGCCATCTTTTATTCTGAATACTCCCAGAGGGAAAGTGATCGTATCAGTTTCGATCACGTAGGGACATGAGTTACAACGGCTACGGTTGCAACTTTGTGTGCCTTTATGTGCTTTAGTAGCACTTTTTATATGCCTCACAGTGGGTGGAAATGAGTCTCATTTGAATCAAACTTGATATGTGTCTTATATGCTTCCCACTTAAAATGTGTCTTATACGCCTCACACTTGAAATGTATCGTGTATGCCTCAAAGTGGGTGGAAACGAATCTTATATGCCTCCAACTTAAATTGTGTCTTATACGCATCACACTTGTAATGTGTCTTACATGCCTCACATTTGAAATGTGTCTTACATGCTTCACATTTGTAATGTGTCTTACATGCCTCACATTTGAAATGTGTCTTACATGCCTCACATTTGAAATGTGTCTTACATGCTTCACATTTATAATGTGTCTTACATGCTTCACATTTATAATGTGTCTTACATGCCTCACATTTGTAATGTGTCTTACATGCCTCACATTTGAAATGTGTCTTACATGCTTCACATTTATAATGTGTCTTACATGCCTCACATTTGTAATGTGTCTTACATGCCTCACATTTGTAATGTGTCTAACATGCCTTACAGAAGATATTAAAAACAAAATCTCATTTTTTCTCCACAGTGTTGTCCCACATCTTCATGGTGGCACTAACAATATTTGCCGTCTCTGAAGCTTGTATCGGTAAGTTATGCAAGCATCGACCTTTTTTCCCCTTCAAGGCTTTATTCTTGTTGAAGCATCATCCCCTCTATGCATCATGGGTACGTCATGTGAGAAATCTATTGCACGTGTCAAATTCCGTAGTATGTTTGTCTGGAACTAACGCCAAGAGAGACAAACCTATTGAGCAGTGTTGCATGTTTCAGGCTATGTAGTTGTGTACCTTTAAATTTCTCGAAATATAAAAAAAATAACAATCTTCACACAAGTCTTTTTTTTTTTTTTAAACGGGTCATAAACTTGTTGGTGTCAAAACCTGTGGTCAGTGCAAAGCACCCTCCATTAACCAGTTGACTGTGTTTCCCCCGCCCCCTCCCCCCAGGTGTGCGCTATCTCACCGAATGTCCAGAAGATTCCAGAATCCCAGTGTCAAAACCTGTGGTCAGTGCAAAGCACCCTCCCTTAACCCGTTGACTGTGTTTCCCCCGCCCCCCCCCCAGGTGTGCGCTATCTCACCGAATGTCCAGAAGATTCCAGAATCCCCGTGTTCCTGTTCGTGGGCGGATGTATCGGAGCCCTGAAGGCCATTCACGTCATGTACAGCATACACAAGATAAAGCGCCACAGCCAGAACAGCATGATGTCACAGAGGTAAAACTTGAATACATCTTCTCTACTAGCCATTGACCCGTCTAAATTGACGGAACGGGAATTTGTATATATCTTCCTCCTGACAGTAAAATAAAATGTATATAAATGTTGTTCCTTTTTTTAAAAAAAATTAAACTTTTTTAAAATCTATTTGTTAAACAATAATTTCAGTAGTAATTTAACATGGTATGATAAATTAAAGAGGAAAATTTAAAAACCCTTTAAAACAATTATTTCCAATAAATTATTTATAAAATGTCATATCGACAATGGGGGATGGGGCTAAAAATTGGACAAAACATGCATGCAAGTAACGCACTTTATAATAATCCTAGTTAGTGCTCCCCCCGCCCCCCAAAGGCTCGCATCCACAAACTTTTTCACGCCCCTGAACTATATTAGAATTCAAATTCAAATGATTACACCGCGGATTTATTTCACAAACTATTTCAGAAAAGAACATGAGAAAATATTGAGCACCAAGTGCACTTGCGATATTTGTGTTAAAAGAATCTCATTTAAAATCATTATTTCCTTCACGTTCCCTTTAAAAAACCTGGAAAACGTGATTTTTAGGGTTGGGGTGGGGCTGAGTCACGTTTTAGCTCGATAGGTTAACGGGAAGTGAGTCAATTAGCCGTCCGAAGATTTTTGCCAGTCAGCCAGGCACGAACAAAAGCAAAGTTTAAAAAGTAAGTTACGTTTACCCAAGTCTCACACGAAATGTCTTCTTTCCCGTACGTAGGCAGTTTTATCATTTCTTTCCCAGTCTCTGAGGTCAATACCTTTGTTACATGTTTCAGGGGGTCAATGCCTTTATTACATGTTACAAGGGTCAATACCTTTCTTACACGTTTCAGTGGTCAATACCTTTGTTACATGTTACAGGGGTCAATACCTTTGTTACATGTTTCAGTGGTCAATACCTTTGTTACATGTTTCAGTGGTCAATACCTTTGTTACATGTTTCAGTGGTCAATACCTTTGTTACATGTTTCAGTGGTCAATACCTTTGTTACATGTTTCAGTGGTCAATACCTTTGTTACATGTTACAGGGGTCAATACCTTTGTTACATGTTACAGGGGTCAATACCTTTGTTACATGTTTCAGTGGTCAATACCTTTGTTACATGTTACAGGGGTCAATGCCTTTGTTGCATGTTACATGGGTCAATGCCTTTGTTACATGTTTCAGGGATCACTAAGATTGTTAAACAGATCACGGGAACACTATGCCTTTTTTTTGTTTCTCGACAGAGCTGACGAGATCGTGGATGTGATCCTCAACATTTTCCTGCTGGTGTGGCAAGGACTGGGCATGTACTGGATATTCTCGGTGTGGTGGCCCCCAGAGACAGAACCCCTGTACGTGGACCCGGATGAGTGGTGCGATCAGACGTGTTACCTCTTCGCCGTCGTGCAGACAGGCGTGGCGGGTGTGCTCATCGTGGGCAAGGCACTGATGCTCTGCGTCTTCCTCTGCATGTACCTGTGTGCTAAATGACCACTGGCCAGTCATAGATGAAACCCTCTCTTTGGGACAACACAAAAGGAAAATGATATAAAACCATAATGTTTCAATAACATATACAACATTGTAAGACATTAATTATGTACTACAAATAATAACGATGATGTTACACAACTTTAATCTGCCTCAGATGACATCTCTGTTTTCTGTGAATGGTTTCAATGATTGGAGACTTTGGTTGGGGACTTTGGTTGGAGACTTTAGTTGGGGACTTTGATTGGAGACTTTGGTTGGGGACTTTGGTTGGAGACTTTGGTTGGAGACTTTAGTTGGAGACTTTGGTTGGAGACTTTGGTTGGGGACTTTAGTTGGGGACTTTGATTGGAGACTTTGGTTGGGGACTTTGGTTGGAGACTTTGGTTGGAGACTTTGGTTGGAGACTTTGGTTGGAGACTTTGGTTGGAGACTTTGGTTGGAGACTTTGGTTGGGGACTTTGGTTGGAGACTTTAATTGGAGACTTTGGTTGGAGACTTTGGTTGGAAAGTTGGTTCACTGATGACAGAGTGAGACTCAGTGACATCATATTGTACCAGGAAATGATTAGCGTTGATAAAAAATATCAACTTGAAACCTAAACGGACGATGAAACAAACTATTTTCCAAGACGTATTTAAAACAAGATTGATTCCACCGGTTTTTAATGTGTTTATCGTTTGTTCATAATTCAGATAACAACTAAAAAAACAAAATAAACAACAATGAAAAAAAAAAAAAGAAAAACATAGATTTAATCTACGTCAGATAGAAGTAACGACTTGAACTATGTTGAAAACAAACTTTTTTCCAAGATGTATTTAAAAAAAGATTTATTCCCCCGGTTTTTAATGTGTTTATCGTTTGTTCATAATTAAGAAAAAAACTAAAAAAAAAAAATAAACAACAATGAAAAAAAAAAAAAAAGAAAAACATAGATTTAATCTACGTCAGATAGAAGTAACGACTTGAACTATGTTGAATTATTATTCTTATTATTCTTTTAATGTTTGCTTTTGGGGTGAAATAAGAAAAAAAGAGTCATTTAGTTTTGACCACGGTGTTTAAATCGTATCAAGCAATTTAAAGGGAATACAGTTTTATTACAATACTTTTGATGGGCAGTCACAAGCTTAAATCGCTTCTTACAATAATTACTGATCAGTTTAGGGGCTACAAAGCTTGTTTGCATAAGATAGAAGGATGATCTTTGAATAACGTTGAATAATTATATTCGAATGAGATTTTTTAAAAGGAAGCTGTTTTGACAGCAATACACAGCATACATCGCGGGGCTGGGTTCGAGAGCTTCTGTAGTAAATTGGTCAATTTTACAATTTTGTCATCTCCCCTGTACCGCCCGCCTATCTGTCTATGAGTCTGTCTCTCCCATCAGTCTGTCTTTCCCATCAGTATGTCTCTCATATCAGTCTGTCTCTCCCATAGTATTTCACTCCCATCAGTCTGTCTCTCCCATTAGTCCGTCTCTTTCATCATTCTGTCTCTCCCATCAGTCTGTCTCTCCCATCAGTATTTCACTCCCACCAGTCTGTCTCTCTCATCAGTATTTAACTCCCATCAGTCTGTCTCTCTCATCAGTATTTCACTCCCATCAGTCTGTCTCTCTCATCAGTATTTCACTCCCATCAGTCTGTCTCTCTCATCAGTATTTCACTCCCATCAGTCTGTCTCTCTCATCAGTATTTCACTCCCACCAGTCTGTCTCTCTCATCAGTATTTCATTCCCACCAGTCTGTCTCTCTCATCAGTATTTCACTCCCATCAGTCTGTCTCTCTCATCAGTATTTCACTCCCATCAGTCTGTCTCTCTCATCAGTCTGCCTCTCCCATCAGTCTGTTGCTCCCACCAGTCTGTTTATACAAGTTTAGCATTTTAATAAAACACGTATTTGGTCACTGTACCTTCGGTATGAGTATTATAAACAATACAAAAGTTAAGAAATAACAAACATATTTCGATGAAAACCATTGCAATTTTAACATTTCCATACAGTCCGTAAATTAATAATATCTTTCCGGTTATCCAGTGTGTTGTGACGCAGATATTAGTCGATACGTTTAGTTAATGAATGTACAACACAACGTTTGAGGAGAATATAAACCTGTAATCGAAGGCACAGAGCCATTTTGTTCGCCGATAAGCCTTTTGGTGTAGCGTTTAAACTTGTTGCTACAAAACTTTGCTGAAGAATCTGTCGTATGTAACTTGACGATGCTCTTCCATATTTTGATGGCCCCACGATCAATGTGTTGATCAAGGTAGAGAGCCAGTAGGAACAATAGATTAATCGTGGCCTCTCAAAATATAGAAGCAGAGGGGTAATGTTAAATAGGCGAGGTTATCAAAGTTATGTTACATAGGCGATGTTATCGAGGTAATGCTACAAAGGCGATGTCGCGTCATGATTTAGCTAAAAAATGTTGGATCTATTTATGTGATTCAGTTACGTCTTTTGACTGATTGGTTGCACTTGGGCTCGTCATTTCAATGATTCGGGAACCGCTGCCAGCTTCTGTCTCCACTGGGCGTGCTCAAGTAATGTGTGAGATTTGAATTTTTCCCAAGTCTTGAGAGTGTCAAGGTTGTTTTGTAAGGATTTCTCACTAGGGAGCGGACGAATCTGTAGAAAAAAAATTGTAAATGATTGATTTGGAGTTAAAGATGGCTTCAAATTTTATCATGAGTAAGCAATATGACAATTCTGAGAAATATACCTACACAAATTTATTACAGAAGTTAATAGATGTGTTTAAAGTTTATCAGGAGTCACATGACAAAATGTGTAAAGCGGATTATAATAGTCTCGTGTAATAATAAAAATGTAGTCCGGCAAATGATGCTGAAAGATACGTAGGCCGAAAGCATTTGACTACAACAGTGGTTCACAAACTCAAGGTAAAAAAAAATTCTTTTAGAAGATTCTTGCTTGGTAGAGTTAGAGGCATAAATAAAAAAAAGGGGGCGGGGGGGGGGGGTTAAGAGTTGAAGGGGGATGGCGTAGAAATTAATCTTGTACCCGGGTGCCAAACACTCTAGCTACGTCACTGGGAAGAGTGGCCATTTAAAATCGACACCAAAGAATTAAGTCACTGATAAGTTCCTTTATTGTTTTAAAGATTTGACCTGTTTTAAGGTGTGTCTCGTAGAATAAGCAATACGTAACAAATGGCTTTAAAAAAAAACTGTATGCAAACATGCAAAGAAGACGGTAACAACAAAAAACTGCATCAATGTACAGAACATGAAGTGAAAAGGTACACCCCCCAAAATACAAATATTGATTTACACACATACAATGATATAAGGTCTCATATAATATGTTAGGTATTGATTTACACACATACAATGATATAAGGTCTCATATAATATGTTAGGTATTGATTTACACACATACAATGATATAAGGTCTCATATAATATGTTAGGTATTGATTTACACACATACAATGATATAAGGTCTCATATAATATGTTAGGTATTGATTTACACACATACAATGATATAAGGTCTCATATAATATGTTAGGTATTGATTTACACACATACAATGATATAAGGTCTCATATAATATGTTAGGTATTGATTTACACACATACAATGATATAAGGTCTCATATACTATGTTAGGTATTGATTTACACACATACAATGATATAAGGTCTCATATAATATGTTAGGTAAAATGTTTTTTTTTAAATCTCTCCCTCACTCTGTCTGTCTCCTATGGAACCTGAAGTCCTATACACAGGGATTAAATCAGAACGATCTAGTAAAGAAACAGGTTGGGACATGATTACAGTTGCCGTATGGATATGAGGTGAAGGTGTGTGGCAACCTTTCACCGGTGATTCTAAATATGCAGTCTTGAGGGTACTGCTCCAAGGCAACCTCTCTCTCCCATCTACGGTGTGAATTAGTCGCGCCGTAGAATAACCATACAAACCCTAGTAGAGGGCGTCGGTCTTAAACAACTACGCGGTCCCCCCGGGGTGGTAAGGGGGGACTTTAGAGACGTTAAATATCCACCCCAACCCCTTAGAAAGTCCGGCCCTGTTGCTGCGTGAGCAGCAATCCGGCTGGCCAGGTGTTTCTTCTCTGGGGCTGCCACACTCAGCGGCCAATCGAGTGGAGGTCGAGTGTGGCGGTCTTAGGGGCGGAGCGTCCCTGGCGTGCCGCTTCGCGGCCCGATCGGAATAAAGACCACTGGGGGAGTGGTTGACGGCCGGTTTGGTTGGCGGGGTGGTGCGTTGGGGAGGACCATATGAGCCTCAAGGCTCGGTGTTCGCTGATTTTCTTAAGTTAGTTAGTTAGTAAAGAAAGTCTATAAATTGCGTCACTTGATAGCATTCTTTAGAACAAACAGAACGCATTCAAACGTAAGCCACTCTGTCCCCATCAAGGCCGGGGGGGGGGGAGGGGTGGTAAGGAATGACATGACATTTATACATCCATATCAAGGCCATACTGGGATGAGACAGGTGGTAGGGATTTTGAAAAATCTCTACTTTGAAGTGAAAAATTGCCTAAGACATAGGCTGTACTATAACAGTCACTCAAAAAATATATTATAATACAATTTGAAAATTTTGGGAACCACTGTTTAAAAAATGAGCATGTCACATTAACTTCGGTTTTATATTCATGTGTTTTCGCGTGCATAGTTAAGTCCAGCGTCCATGACATTTAGAACACAAACCTTTTGTCTCATGGTTTTCAGAGTTTCTTCCGTCAAGTATTTCTTGAAGAATTTTTTATTGATCAGCACCACCTCCGCTCCATCGGACACGAGGCTGCATGACGTCACATTGCGCATGGCCCCTAAAACAACTTGATCCAATCCCTGGAACGAAACGTAGAAATGGCTGTTCACTGGTTGGAATATCGTGCAAATATAATGCTAAATATTTACTTAGTACAGTTGCCGTTGATGAGTATGAGATAATGGGTGGCCGCCCCAAACCCTTGTCAATGATTAAAAAGACGTGGCCCCGAGAAAGCCGCCCCTAGGCGACCGTTTCGTCCCCGCTACGTCCCGACCAGACAGCTCCCTGGGCGGTGGGGAGTGGTAACGCAACACCACCTCTCTGGAGAGGAAGTAAAGCCGTCCTGACCCATAGGAGAGCAGACTACGGACGCTTTAAACGCAGCGCCCTCGGTCTGCCGGACGTCCCTCAGGCCAGTGGGGGAAGTTCCCGGCGCACTTCCGCACGGTCTGGGGCTTCGGCCCTGGCCCGTTTGGGGGAGTGCCGGGGGGGGGGGTATTATGAGTGCGAACTCGACGACCCACCGACACCATCTCCAAAGTAACGTTATCAGTTAGTACAGTTAAAAACTAGATGGTCCGGACGGACTTTTTTGTGACCAGTAGTGAGTGGGGATAAACGAGGAGGTACTGAGAGTAATAAAATAAAGTTATATAATATAAACCAATGACGTATTGTTTTCATCCTTAGCACGAGAGTTTTGTGTGTTTATTTTTGTTATTTGTTTGTGGTCTTTACTCCCAACCAAAATTGAAGTCCTGTTAACGTTGCCACGTCAAACATGATGCATTGCAGTGGTCACTTACACAAAATCGGATGAACGAAATTCGATGAAAATACGTGTACGGAAATTAAGATATGTCTTTCGTTTAAATGTCGTCTATGATCCACGCCACCGAACATAAAGATTCAAAATTCTGCGAGGTGGCGTAATTAACATGGTTTGGTTACAATTATTGAAATTTCATTGTTGTGTTTTTTCAAACTAGAGAGCATTTAGCATTGAAAAGGCAGCACTTATAAAATGTAGTAGCTTTCTCTTAATCATAAAAATACCCTAAACACTCATGCGGTGACATGGAAAGCAACATGTAATTAACCAACCCTTAGAAACAACTTTTTTCGTAAAAATTGGTTGTAGTGTTTCCTTCAGACATTTCCCCCGGGCGTGGGGGGGGGCATTTCAAATTTTCGGGGGNGCACTAAAAGTAGCTACGCCTGTTGACCCTCATGGTGGCACTAAAAGTAGCTACGCCTGTTGACCCTCATGGTGGCACTAAAAGTAGCTACGCCTGTTGACCCTCATGGTGGCACTAAAAGTAGCTACGCCTGTTGACCCTCATGGTGGCACTAAAAGTAGCTACGCCTGTTGACCCTCATGGTGGCACTAAAAGTAGCTACGCCTGTTGACCCTCATGGTGGCACTAAAAGTAGCTACGCCTGTTGACCCTCATGGTGGCACTAAAAGTAGCTACGCCTGTTGACCCTCATGGTGGCACTAAAAGTAGCTACGCCTGTTGACCCTCATGGTGGCACTAAAAGTAGCTACGCCTGTTGACCCTCATGGTGGCACTAAAAGTAGCTACGCCTGTTGACCCTCATGGTGGCACTAAAAGTAGCTACGCCTGTTGACCCTCATGGTGGCACTAAAAGTAGCTACGCCTGTTGACCCTCATGGTGGCACTAAAAGTAGCTACGCCTGTTGACCCTCATGGTGGCACTAAAAGTAGCTACGCCTGTTGACCCTCATGGTGGCACTAAAAGTAGCTACGCCTGTTGACCCTCATGGTGGCACTAAAAGTAGCTACGCCTGTTGACCCTCATGGCGGCACTAAAAGTAGCTACGCCTCTGGGCAGTATATCCCTCGTCGCCAAAATTATGGAAGATTTTTTTTTTTTTTCGGAGTGAAGGGTAGAAATCGAGGGCGCCGATGAATCTTTCTCTCATTGAAATAAAGAACAGCATCACCAAGATCACAAGGGTAGGCTCAGCCAAACAAGAGCATATCTCTCTGGTCGGAAATGAGCTGGAAGAAGTGGTGGCCTCCACACACTTAGGCAGCACCGTTGACTTAAATGGTGGATCCGAAGCGAACGTAAGGGCCAGAATGGGAAAGGGTAGGTCACCATGTGTGCTACAAAGAAACGATGGGCGTAAAAGGAGCCGACTCTTCAAATCAAAGTCAGAATTTTCAACACACATGTCAAAACAGGGCCTACTACATGGAGCCGAAACTTGGAGAACAACAGTGAGCATCACACAGAATACTGTAAGCCCTTAACAAGATTGGCGTTATATATACGGATCATAAAATATATCGAACGTATCGATATTTCATTGAATTTAAAAAGTATATAAAAGTTATATTTTTGTACACATTTTGCTCCGGGGGACACTTGACTTTCCCCGGGGGTGGGAGGGCACTGCCTCCCCCCGAGATATGACTGAAAGAAATCCTGATAATTTGTATGCAATTTAAAAATTATTGTCTGTTATATTAAGATTCGAATGACCCACCCGCCTTTAAACTGCACATTTATTTCACCTACTATTTAAAAAATAAAAATAAATAAATATATATTACGCACCACACACACCTGTGATAATTTTTTTTTAAAGAATGTCATTTAGCGCAGTTATCGGGAATTTTATTTCGGGAAATCGGTGTATTTATAGTTCATTCATCTTCCTTTAAAAAAAAAAAGGAGGAAAAAACTCATTTGGGGGGGGGGGGGGGCTAGGATTGGCGGGTTGCGCTGAAAATACGAAAACCTGTGTTGTCATCGGCAACGAGTCAATCTATTAATTTTCAGCTCGATAGGTTGAGGGTAAGTGGGTCCATTGGCTGTCTGAAGATTTTTTTATTTCCAAAACGCACAAAAGCGAAGTTAGTCTAAAGGATTCAAAACTTAGTCAAAGTTGACCTACAAACACATCTCCGGACTCTAAGCGAGCGACTTCAATAAAGACTTTCCTGGCTATGGGGTGTCTGGACGACATGGGCGTCGACACGATCTGGGGCAAGGCCGGGGGCTGCAGGCCGTAGGACTGGCGCTTGGGTTGAAAGATGGGGGCACGGGGCGGCAACTGCAGTGTTTGGATGGACACTTTTCTGGAGCCGTTCTGTGAGCGCCCTTCGAAGATTGCCTCCCTTTGGGGCTGGAATGAGACAGGTGCGAAAAAAATGTGTGCGTTACACGGTGTAAGTTTTGAGTACCTAGTCAACACTGAAGGAAAACTGGGAAAGTGAATTTTAGCATTTAGTCGAGCTACAGGTATGTTGACAAAAAAATGTAGGTTTACTACTTGGAGTTGAAAATTCAAATATGAACCATTCATATATGTTCTTAAATAATTTGTTCCATTTATCATGTCGTCTTGTTTACCTTTTTTTTACAAATAGAAAAATGCAAATCTTCACCACTTTCTGAGTTATTACTTTAAAATTGTATGTGCCACAACTATTATACAAACATGTATTTAATTATTTTCTTTAAAAAGTATAAAAAACAAAAAAAAAAAAAAAAAAAAAATCAAGAAAAATTTATCCCCCCCCCCTCCCCCCCCCACCCCCTAAAATGTCAAGGGATATCGGCTTCACTTGAATAAATGAACTATAAAAGTATTCTGATTTTTCATTAAAACTTAAAAAATGTGCAAAACCTTCATGTCAAGAATAGATGGCAGCACATGTCTCTTGAAGTAAAGGTCGTCAATCTCTGCCTGGTGCTGACTCCGAGTCAGGGATACTGTAGATAGAAAGGAATGAATTCAAGATTAAGGCGCACAGAGACTTCGACTCATCGCTATGGGAAATGAGAGACACGCTGAATCCTTTGCTTATGTCCCTTTATTAATAACAATTTAAACAATTATTGACATGATTATTATTCAAGCTATTCTTTGCATCAGACAAAGTGCACCTACTCTTCACACAAGACAAATTGGACCAACTCTTCACACTAGACAAATTGGACCAACTCTTCACACCAGACAAATTGGACCAACTCTTCACACCAGACAAATTGGACCAACTCTTCACACCAGACAAATTGGACCAACTCTTCACACCAGACATATTGGACCAACCCATCTTGTTATTACCATCAGCTTCCCTCTTGTCTTTGAGCAAGTTTACAGAAGTGCGGATGATGTCCCGCGGCTGATTGACGATTCCCTGCCGCCTCACCCTGACCTGGGCACCGCCATGGCTGGCCATCTCCTGGTTGATGTCATTGTTGCTATTGTTGTTGAGGCCCGTTGAATTGGTTGTGTAAATTGTTGAGAAGTTTGAAGACGAAGGTGCTACACTTATGGCTGAATGTGAATGAAGTAGCAAATCTAGCTTATAACAACAACAATGGGAACTACAGTAAGAACCCCAATTTAAAAAATAGCAAAAGCTTGAATTGAAAATAACACAATGCGGGTGGAAATATTAAGTTACATGTAAAAATTTACACCATACAAAAAAACAACAACAACAAAACAATATAGCAACTGGACTTCGAAGAGCATTGGCTTAAAAATGCATTAATAAAGGGTTATTTCAAGGGCTGTGCATTGACCACGTCAACCGTTGACATAATTTCTAGCAACTTATCTCTACCATCACTTTCAATTAAGCTGACCTGTGCATGATGTGCTAGTGTTAAAAGTGAAGAAACATTTGTAAAGTGACACTCACTGCGTACAACTGAAGGGTTCTCTAGTTTTATGTCATGCGTCCCCGGTTGTTTCACGGGGCCGTCGTTCAGAGCTTTGAGGATCTTGCACGTGCCGGACACGATGACAAAGATCCAGTCACTCTTGCCGCTGTCAAGACACAAGATCACTCCGCGTCTGGTAGATGGTAATATATGTGGTAGTGCATGTGTTTATTTTAATACACATAAAGTTGGCAAATAAAATAATGGAGTTGATGTTGTTTATCAGTTTGGTCGTGGTATAAATTGAAGACATGGCGTTCTGTGTTGGTATATGGCGTGGTTATGTAAACGGTTAAAAGCTAAAAAGGAATTACATACAATTTGTAACACTCTTTTGATATTGACAAGCGGTCTGTCAAAATCAACATGGCAGCGTGTTGAGGGCCGTTTGAATCGTACGGACCACTGGCAACAGCTCCTTCGCATTTATATCTTTCGATTACCTTAGGGACTACTTACCTTACATAAGTAAAGGCGCAGATCTTAAAGACTTCTTACCTTACACAAGTAAAGGCGCAGATCTTAAAGACTACTTACCTTACATAAGTAAAGGCACAGATCTTAGGGTTGTCGTGAGGTATAGAGTCCACAGGCCAGCCCTTTAGCAGGTCTATTGTCCTAAGAAATGCTATATGTTCTGCCTCCTTTCCTTTGACCCCGCGCATGAATATGTCAATAAAGTCTTCACGCTCAATGCAGATTAGTTCCACGTCCTCCCTGCAGGTCACCGTCGCTGACCTCTGTGACATGTTCAGGAACGCCAGTTCCTGGAGGGACGGTGAATATTTTGATTGAACCATCTTTAGTTTGGACATGACCGGGAATTTTATTACGTACAATTCTACAGACATTACCCCAAAACTGTATCCCCTGTATATATTACCCCAAAATTGTTTCCCTGTAGATATTACCCCCAAACTGTTTTCCTTGTATATATTATCCCAAAAATGTTTCCCCTGCAGATGTTACAAAACTGTTTCCCCTGTAGATCTTACCCGAAAACGGTTTCCCCTGCAGATCTTACCAAACAACTGTTTCCCCTGCATTATAGATCTTACTCCAAAACTGTTTCCCCTGTAGATCTTACCCCAAAACTGTTTCCCCTGCAGATCTTAACCCAAAACTGTTTCCCTTGCTGATCTTACCCCAAAACTGTTTCCCCCTGCAGATCTTACCCCAAAGCTGTTTCCTCTGCAGATCTTACCCCAAAGCTGTTTCCACTGTAGATCTTACCCCCAAAACTGTTTCCACTGTAGATCTTACCCCAAAACTGTTTTCCCTGCAGATCTTACCCCAAAACTGTTGCCTTTGCCCAAGACGTTCGTTGTATGCACATGATTACCAGAACTGTCCATCTCTGTGACGACAGCTGAAATCAGACGTCACCAATAACCATATTGTATTGTAGTGCACACGCACATACACACACACACATTAACACACACACACCCACACACACAAACATTCACATACGCACATACATAAGCACAAACACATACAAACACGTACATACACACACGTTTTAAGAAATGTTGAAGTTCTATGCCGTACCACATCCAGATATAATGAAGTAAAAATTCTCCGCTCTGTGACCCTGCCTGATGATGACGCGACCAGGCTCAAATCTGAAACGGCGAGAGAAAATATAGGAAATTAAGGTCACTTGCGGTGAAACTACAAATGGTCAAGATGGACATTGTCCTGGGTCTAAAAGCGTTAGTGTAAGGTGCTGCTGAACACCGAGTCATGGAGTCATGTTATAATCTGAACACTGAGTCACGGAGTCATGTTATGATCTGATACTGCAAGGAAACCAATCGATTGGTCAAATTGAATTTTTGTTTAAATCCGATTTTTTCTTTCTATAATCTTCTTTGAACAAACAGTTTGGCGTCCACCAGATGTTAGTTGTTCCCCCAACTATTCCTCATTTGTTTAGAGTAGAGGTAGGTGAAAGGAAAACGAATTATTTGTTTTATAAGTAGGCAAGAGATCTTTGGTAAGCAGTGTTATTTGACCATACACATGACAGAAAGTCAATAAAAAAAATTGGTATTATAAAAATTTAACATAAAATTGGTAACATAAGATTTTTAACATATCATTACTAACATCAAATTGGTATCATAAGATTGGTAACATAGGATTGGTAAAACACGCAAAGCTTACTTCTCGTATGTGCACACTTTGATCATTGACTCCTGAATTCGGATTGGAAACTCGGAAAAAGATGGCGCCACCTGGCGGAAACAGACCCTGACCGTGTGAATTCTTGCGTCTGTTCTCTGATTGGACGGCAGTCGGAGAATCTCTTTGACATCCGGACTTATGGTTGACTAAACAACAAAGGAACATCTGACACATGAATGGCACGAAAGCATTGTTATTAGAACTGGTGTATATTGACCTAGATTTTTATCTTCTACTGACCTAGTCAACATAATATAAAATATAAACAAAAGGCTTTTTTCCCCTTCAAATTATTGTTGAGGTTCTTTATTTAATTTCCGTTCGAGCAAACATTCCTTCGTACAAAATGATTTTCGAACCCATTGGTTTCGTACTAGTTACCGGACGTGCTATAAATTGTAGACCTACTTCTTTTTTGGCCTTATAGAGTAGAGGGTCAAAGGTTAACGAGCCACTGTCATAGTTCAGCCTCGAGATCCCCAGCACCTCGTCATAGACCACTGCCCAGGACAGGAAGTTGTATTTGTCCTCGTCTGGTTGCTCACTGCAAACGCACATACACGTCAGCTGAGTGGTTTATTTTTAACCCATCAAAACATTACCTTCGTCATTCATTATGTGTGTGTTCTGTAAGTTCTTGAAATAATATTTCAGTCTCCCTTTCCACCCCCCCCGCATGCATTATATACAGTGGCGTAGCGAGGGGAGGGGGAGGGGGGATCTAAATTAGAAAGTCCCCCCGGGGCCCTACTTGAGGGGGGTCCCCAAAGGAGTGTCCGAATTTTTTTTTACATTAAATAATGTTGAATGTCAAAATGCAGGGGCCCCTAAAGAGGCCAAGCCCCCGGGACCCCAAATCCCTAGCTACGACATATGCGCTACTTTCCTCCCCTACTCACTATGTTAGTTCTTATTGTAATGACTATTTGAACTTACACTTAAATTTAATTCAATAAAACTTACGGCTTGAACCCCACAGCCCGTAACATAAGGACCGTCATTCTGACGGCGTGGCGAAACTTGTCCAGCGGTTCCTGGCGTTGTTCAAAATGACAAGAGTTTCAGTCAAATTTTAACCAACTTTGATTATACTTGACATGTTGTGACATGTTGTTGTGACATGTTTAGTGACATGTTGTTGTGAAGTGTTTAGTGACATGTTGTTGTGACATGTTTAGTGACGTGTAACAGTCAAAATGTTGAAGTCGCGTGACGTAGAAGCATGTCTTTGTGACCTATTGTGATATGTTATTGTGAAATGTTGTAGTCACATTTTGTAGTGACATGTTGAAGGGACATTTTGTAGTGAAGTGCTGTTGTGTCATGCAGAAATGGCATCTTCTAGTCACAAGTTGTAGTGACATGTTGTAGTGACATTTTGTAGGGACATGTTGTTGTGTCATGCAGTAGTAACATAGTGTAGGGACATGTTGTAATGACATGTCGAAGTGACACGTTGTGGGGGACATGTTTTAGGGCTATCTTCACTCTGTGTCTCAGTTTCTCGATAATTGCTCAGTCTGCTTTGGAATGTGTAGTGCATAACTAAAAAAAAAATCTTACCAGCAACCCATTTTCTACCACCTTATGTGGGTGGCGTGTACTCAGAGTCATAAGTAGGTTTGGTTTGTGAATGACATTCACCTACTTACATCTGAGGCTCGCTGAACGCTACCGTCTTTAAAATATGCTACAAAGCTCAGTCGAATGGGAGAGATCCAAATGGTTGAAATTGTGTGGGTTCCTAACTTTCCCACTTGTTTACAGATGTCTAGTGAAATTTTGAATTGGCGATATAACTTCCATTTAAATAAACAGTGCAGATAATACCCTCAGTCCCACTCCCACAATGCTCCCAAAACTCCTTTCCTATCCAACGGTTTATTTAAATATTTACAGAAAGTCGATTCTTCTTTTTTTAACATTTCCTAATTTAGATTTTTTTAAAAGTAGTTCTTAAATAAATAATCTGATTTATTTTTTGAAGTAGAAGTTTACGAACCGTTTTCCGGGAGTTAGTGCCAAAGGCTTTAAGAAAGTCTCCAACTCCTTTCTCGAGCTCGTCCACCGCCATACTTTTCCTGAAAACGTCCGGTCTGGACATGGCACGACCTCTGGCCAGTCTCCAGGCAATCAGCCTCTCGGTGAGCGTGTCGCTGAGCGACGGCGCTCGTTCTGACATGGAGCCTGTCAACTTCAGACTAGAATTCAACGGCCCCTGGTATTCTGATTTGGCTAAGGACAACGACGATACGAGCTGTCGGTCCTGATCCTCGGTTGTCCCGACCGCCGGTTTCTTGACACCTTTAGGCTTGGAGGTGAGAATGAATCTCGCCTCTATATTCGTTAGTTTCGAAAGTGTTCTCACCACATTACGCTGCTCAAACTCTTTGAGGATGTTCGCCGTTTCTGATTTTGAATGTGCGTCTTTCAGAGGGTTTAACACTTTGTGTTTGTTACCGGCGGCGCCGTCGGTGCAGGACGTCGTCTTGCCGACGTTTGAGTCGGTGTACAGATACCGTAGCCTGGTCTTGAGTACACGAGAGGTAGTGGGGCTCTCGAAATAGACAACGTCGCTCAAAGAATCCGCGGTGAGCTTCCTTCTCGGTTTCTTCTTCTTCTTACTTCTGTCTGACCTTGAATACATCTCATATCCCGGGGCGTTATTGTCATGTGACTGTGCGGAGTTTCGAGAACTCACGGTGAAACGCTCCTTCTGGTCGCTTCCTGAAAAAAACTCTGACAGGGGCGTCGACCCCTCGGTTTGGGTGGCGACACTTTGGTCACATGAGTCCTGGTTCGCCCCTGATGTTTTGTATCGGCTGAACTTCCTTAACATCCGCGAACGTTTCCTGAACTTGAGTTCAGGGGGAATGTCCAGTTCACTGATATTGGCATTAGGGAAGGTCCACTCCCAGGAGTCACCCAAATCGTGTTCCGTCTCCAACACGGCATTTTGGTAATCGTAGCTGTCGGGATCGAAGTCGGAGAGAGACTGGGACGAGTCACGTTTCTTGATCAATCTTGGATGTAAGACGTTGCTGACGTCAGGATTGTCGAGATGTTCTGGGAGTTGGGAAACTCTGATCCTGTCAGCTATGTTTTGAGAGCCCCCTATCTGGTCATGGGTATTTTGTATAACTTCCGTTTCCGTAAGTCTGGTTTCCGTTAACAATCTGGTGACTTTTTTCTGCGGATCGGTGTCAGGTGCACCTTGGACTTCATTCACACTTTCCTCATCATCATCTTCGTCGTCGTACTCAACGTCCTCATCCTCTTCATCCGTATCCCCATTACTGTCGTCAGACTCGTCAAAACTACTATCAGTGTCCTCGCCAACCTCATCGTGGTCATCACCCTCACTGTCTTCAACAGCATCGGCCCTTCCAATAAGCTCCTCCCCGTTGATACCCTCATCACTAACCTTTACACCTTCACCATCTTCCGTGTCTTCACCATTAAATCCTACGTCAACATTTGAAGCGCTCTGCTGATCATAATCTCCCATTTTGCCACTTCCACTGCCTTCACCTATAGCTACCCCCTGACTAAGATTAGCCGTACGGTTTGCTACGTCAGTGCTCTTGTGTACGTCATCGACGGGTTCAAGGTTATCATCGGGAGTCATTAAATCACCATTTTTAGAGACGTTTGCAGCATGTTCAAAGATGCCACTGACGACGGTGCGCATGTCCATTGTTTCTGAATCACCTTGACCTTTCTGTCCTGCACTGTCGTCAGTCTCGTCAATTTTCTCTCCTCTTTTTGGAACAACAACTTCTACTCTACTAGGTAGCGCTTGGGACGTATTGCTCGTTATTTTTTTTCTTCTATATACAAGGGTTGACTTCCATAATGTTGATTCTGTATTTGGAAATCTGAAAGTATTTGGGGAAAAAATAGCTATTATATTTTGTCCATAAATAAAATAAAATAAACAAATAGAACGCCCTTAAATCAATAGTTTTTTTGTTTTTTTTGTTTTTTAAATAAACATTTTTCAATTACATTTACAATGAATTTTTCTACAGTATATATTTATACCATCGAATAATTCAGTTACACATTTTCGTTCGGAGGATGTTATATGGGCACTGTCCAACAGATGGAGCAGGTTGCCGCCGTACTAGCCGGGGCCTTTTAGAGCGTTTGCTCAAAGCCTCCCCCACCCCCTTTTTAAGAATATGTAACTAAGTAACAGAGCTAAAAAAAAATTACCATCACTTTAAAAGCGAGTTTTAAAAAAATCAACTTTTCCACTACGCGCCTTGCTTTGAACACACTTAAAAATCAAATCAAATCCAGTAAATCAAAAAATGAATCGATCAACTTGAACAGCGCCGAGTCGTTCGATTAGTAAAGGTAAACCTTTTTTTTAAATCAGCTTTCATGTTATTATTACATGAAACGTGGACTGGAAACGAAAGATTCGATAAATTAAAACATCAATTTTGGAAACATATCTCTATACGGCGAATCGCATTCCTTATCATGTTTTACTAAGACGGGCCATTCCCTCCTAATTGCGTTGTATATCTATATTTACATTGTCAAAAATATATGTCATAAATCTATTTTTTAAAGCGTTGATGTTATCAATGCGGTGCCAACAACGCATGTTTGATAAGCTTAATGGATCAGACGACGACAAGACCTCGCTACCACTGGGTTTGCAGTGCCAACAACGCATGTTTGATAAGTTTAATGGATCAGACGACGACAAGACCTCGCTACCACTGGGTTTATATCTGAATCCCACCAAGACGTGAATGGAGATAAAAAAACCGATTGCCTTACATTGAACGTACTCTCTACTCTGAAACACGTGCTACTTCCTGGAATTACAGCTGACCGAAGAGGAATCATCGGAACATTTAGACTAGAGATGGTCTGTTCTACCTTCTACCAACCTAGTTACCGCTTTGTTTTGCATCTGTTATATATATGCATGAAACTGGATCAATTAATATTTTTTCACTTTTTCTAAACGGTCCGGTGTTTCAAATGCTAATGTACTTTTAAATCATTCTTTTTTGGGGGAACTAGATGAAAGTCTTATGAGTCATAAAATAGGATTTCAACGAATATCAAGCTTCAAAATGTCTTCTTATATAGAACACCCGTAGGAGGTCTGTAGCCAAAACCACGATGTCATCTTAGTAAGGTCTGAACTAGGCACGTTGTCTAGAGGAGGTAAGTGGTGTAGTTTTACTTCTAAAACTCATTCTTTTTGCTTTAAAAAAAAATAAATTGACAATGTAATTTAAAAAAAAATTAATTTTAAAAAGTTGAAAGAGTATCTTGCTAACTTACCTTTTGCCTGTTAAATCGTGAGTTTGTTAACAACCATTTTTTTTAGACTTTGATATTGTAAAACTAGACATTAGTCAAAATATTTCTCTAAGTAATTTAAGTCTGAGGAAACACAATGGCCAGAACAATTGTGAACATGTTTCATGCGATCCAATTGATACCTTCATTATGGTGTTTTCAGAAAAGACCATACTCGAAATATAAGACACACTAGAATGTCTTGAAATATAAGACACACTAGAATGTCCTGAAAAATAAGACACGCTAGAATGTCTTGGAACATAACACAAACTTGAAAGTTTTAAAATATAAGACACACACTATAATGTTTGAGTTATTTCAGTTTTTTTCCCCAGAACCAAAATCCTACTGTGGAACAGAAAGGGAAATAGCTTCTTTTAAAGTTAAGTTCATATAAAACGTCACATAGAATAGAACCTCACATAGAATAGAACCTCACATAGAATAGAACCTCACATAGAATAGAACCTCACATAGAATAGAACCTCACATAGAATAGAACCTCACATAGAATAGAACCTCACATAGAATAGAACCTCACATAGAATAGAACCTCACATAGAATAGAACCTCACATAGAATAGAACCTCACATAGAATAGAACCTCACATAGAATAGAACCTCACATAGAATAGAACCTCACATAGAATAGAACCTCGCATAGAATAGAACCCCACATAGAATAGAACCTCACATAGAATAGAACCTCGCATAGAATAGAACCTCACATAGAATAGAACCTCACATAAAATAGAACCTCACATAGAATAGAACTTCGCATAGAATAGAACCTCGCATAGAATAGAACCTCACATAGAATAGAACCCCACATAGAATAGAACCTCACATAGAATAGAACCTCACATAGAATAGAACCTCACATAGAATAGAACCTCGCATAGAATAGAACCTCACATAGAATAGAACCTCACATAGAATAGAACCTCACATAGAATAGAACCTCGCATAGAATAGAACCTCACATAGAATAGAACCTCACATAGAATAGAACCTCACATAGAATAGAACCTCACATAGAATAGAACCTCACATAGAATAGAACCTCACATAGAATAGAACCTCACATAGAACCTCACATAAAATAGAACCTCGCATAGAATAGAACCTCTCATAGAATAGAACCTCGCAGAGAATAGAACCTCACATAGAATAGAACCTCACATAGAATAGAACCTCACATAGAATAGAACCTCACATTGAATAGAACCTCACATAGAATAGAACCTCGCATAGAATAGAACCTCGCACAGAATAGAACCTCACATAGAATAGAACCTCACATAGAATAGATCATCACATAAAATAGTAAAAAAATAATTTTTAATGTGCGTACGACCCATAAGGCTTGAACCCACCCTCGTCACCTAACGACTCAGGCCACTATCAAATCCCTGATATATTCACCCACTGATCCTTCATGTTTTCTTGTCATCGAATGCAGACTTAGAGAATCGTCACAATGAACTGGAGACGTCCATAGCGTGCCGTACACTGACGTGGTCTCCCATACTTTACCTATCCTACCTCAAACGAGCTCACTACAAAACGGTCCAGACTACCTGTAAGCCCTGCTGATTGACATTTTATGTGGAACTTGAGGTTATATAATGCTCGTAGACCTTATCTTGACAGAAAATTGTATTTTTTATGAGCCAATATTACTTTTGTAGACAGAGGGGAGTGCATTCTTTCGAACATAATTCACGTTTTATGTAGTGTGCTGGTGGTAAATTCAAGACACTTCGATATAAGAACATATCAGCTTTAAATTTGTTTTTAAAGTCTCTCTAAAATCAAAACTCTTATGACTTATTCTTACTTATGAGTTGAAGATTTTTAAATGTTTGTCTTATCACCAAATGCTTCACTATTTGGAAGAACTATTTTATTACTAAATTATGGGTTAATTTTCAATTTTAATATGAATAAAACGATACACCAGAAGGAAGATATCAATTGTGTTCCACTGGGTGTTTTAAAATAGTTAAAAAATAACTTTATTTAAATATATATATATATATATA